CATTATGAGCATGTTTTCTGCTGCTGCTTTTTGAGCAGGGGGTTTTTGCACAAAAAGAAGCGGCGTAGCCACTTCCGTTTTGCGCAAAAACCCCATTTTGCACAAGATCCTGGAGAGGCATAAGGATCTTGCTCAAAACGTGGTTTTTGTGCAAAACGGAAGCGGCTACACTGCTTCTTTTTGCGCAAACACCCCTTGCGCAAAAAGAAACAGCAGAAAATATGCTAATGATATCACAACTTATGCTAATGAATCCCTCATTAGCATATTTTCTGCCACAAAAACTCGCAGTATAGATGAAGCCTAAGGTGCAACAGGACTCTTCTTTCTTGAGTTTGGCTTTAATGGTAACCCACAATAATACAATATAAATTTCAGTCTAAGTTTTCCTCCCAAAACTTGGCTATGCTTGTGTTTCCATGCATGAGTTCTTCTAGTCCAGCCCTCAGTTTCCTCTGTCTCAGATCAGTACTCTAGCCTCTTGTATTCTCATTAGCGCCAACAAGATGCACCTGACAGCACTATGCACATAATTTTATTCTGCATTGTTTGCAAGGCTGTAGACAGAGGTAGGCAACCTGAGACCCGAGGGCCACATACAGCCCACTGGGGTTCTATGTGTGACCCACGAGACATCTTCTTGACTGCTGCCTCTGCACAAAGTTGTCAGATTCTGCTGGTTTTCATCTGCATAGTTTTCCAAACTTAAAGCAAGGGCACATGGCAGTGCGGACCCTCTATTGTGCAAGAAAGCTCTGATGGCCATTTTAGCCATAGGGGTTTCTTGTGCAAGAAATCCCTGCTGACCATCCGTCCACACTGCCCTCTTACACAAGAGAGCTTACACTGGTTAGAAAAGAGCATAGCTCGTGTGCAAGACGCCCTCTCTTCCCATGCCGTACTCTAAATTTTCTTGTGCAAGAGCAGGCGGGCAGTGTGGATGCTCTGTGGGGTCTTGCGCAAGAACGGCTGGACTTGCTCAAGAAGCCGTGAATGTAGACGTAGCCTTAGAGGGGACCCTCCCCCCAGCCTCTCTGCCCCCGAGTTAATGTCACACACATTGGGTTAATTCAATTGTAGGATAGTTGCATGAGGGGGGTTTGGTGGGGGCCAAACTAATCCCTGTTGGTAGGAGGATGGTGGGAAAAGTCCTTCGAGAGGGGTGACATGACACCTTTTACTTCTGGTCATGTGTCCATCTTGCCCTGAACGTGTTACCTCTATAGGCCTGGTTAACGGGGGTCAGAGGGCATGGTTAACGGGGGTTGGGGGCGTGATTAACAGGGGTCAGGGGGTGTGGCTAATGGGGCACCACCAAAAATTACACAAACCTGCCTCCCCTGAAGATGCTGTAGTAACTTGAACTAAGATATGTCCACTCCAGCTACACTATTCACATAGCTGGAATTGTGTACCTTAGTTTGATATTGCCCCCTAGCATAGACCTGGCCTTGGTGTTAGCTCAGGCAAATCCTGTTAACTGCAGAGAAACTCACTGCCTAAAATGGGAATTTGCAGGATAAAAATTGATTAAAACTGAGTAAGGACCTCAGGGTCAGTCCAGCTACAATAGGGTGGAATAAAAGAAAAGACCCTGCCCCAGATCTCATTGCAGACCACTTGGAGTTGAGAAGAGCATCTCCCTGATAGTTGCATTATTCCTTTAGATTTCTATATAGTACCCACTGCTGTGGAAATGGGGTGGTTGCTCCATATACAGGATGTAATGAAGGTCTATAAAATATGCTTCTCCAGTATGAGCAGCAAGTACTTGGTGTTTGTGGCCCTGGAGTAGAGTGAGACAAACAACAGCATGCAGGTCACATATGGCCTGTGAGATCCTTCTGCCCAATCCCCGAGTTCCTAAGCCCCTGACCCTCCCTTTACCTTTACCCACAGCCTCAGCTTACCACACTACCTCCAGGCAGCACAGTCAGAGGGAGGGAAGCAGGGGGGCTGAATAAAGGACTGGGGCACAGTCCTCCATACTACTGCAGAACCCTGATGTGACCCTCAGGCCAAAACATTTGCCCATCCCTGCCCTAGAACCTAGTGACATAGTTGCAAAATCTGTTAAACATCAGTGTTTGGGGGGTTTCAGCAGTGAACTAGTCACAGTTGCAAAGTTGATAACATTTTTACCAAAAGCAAAGAAAGAACAGAATTCCAACAGAAATAGATGGGTCCTAAACCAATTGTTATCTACACATGTGAAACAGCAGCTGTTTACTTCCAAGAAGAAAAAAGATCTGATGGTGTCTGAGGGATGGAGGAAGTGGGGGTCTGATAATGTGTCTGTCAGCCACGCTCACAAGAGGAAGCTACAACTAATTCCTCTAGTTTGCACGGAATGTGGTACAAATGTGTTATTCAACACACTGTCTTTGAGAATTATTTTACTCAAAGCAACAAGAGCGTGGGGAAAATTTAGAGAATGCCCAATATATAGATGGGAAAAATAGAAACCGTATTGTAAGGCAACCTGAAATGAAAAATGTATTACAAATTATGCAGGGTGAAAATTTATTCAGTAATTCTGAGTGTTTCTCCAAACATTTCTGTGTAAAAACAACCTATAAAAGAGAGGATAATATGCCTTTTATAAAATAAAAGACGGTTTCTAGAGATCATCTTACTGTTTCGTGGAATACTACGGGCCTGATTTTGAAAGCAACAATGAGGCTACATCCACAAACAATCCATAGGCACAAACAGCAACATTTATTATTTTAGATCTATTATATATCCATGTGTGAATACACAAAAGCATGCACAATCTCCCCAAACTTATTTTTATCATGTGCAGAATTGTTAGTGCACAAACAAGTCTGTGAGGCCTCCCTGAGGTCCCAATGAAATATAATCCTATGTTTTAAAAGGTAGATTTTATAAAATCTTCTCTAGTTGTGGCTTCCCAACTTGAGATACACAGGACTACATTTTCAAAAGTGATGTCTGCAACTTTGAATGTGCATGCTAGATATTGTTATGCACATGAAGACCAGACACGAATAACGAGTCTTTGAACACCCCAAAAATTACACGTGAGAAATTGCAGACACACTTTATGTAGAACTGGTCAAAAAGATTTCTAGTTTCAACATTTTTCAATGAAACACAAAGACCTTTTTTCCAATTATTTCTTCCTCATCTTCCCCACATTCCTTAGTCACTTCTGTTTGGAGACTAGTATGAGATATTTCTAACTGTCCATGTGGTTAACCAGTGGCATAAATTGCTTAAGGAGATGGTGGAAATCTCCATTATTGAAGTTTTTAAGAGTAGCCTAGACCATGTCTTCACTAAACGGAAAATCAATGCTGCTGTGATCAATCTTTTGGAGCTCAATTTATCAGGACTAGTTAAGACTCACTAAATCAAACTCAGAGAGTGCCCCCGTCAGAGGCTGGTACTCCTGCTTCTGCAAGGAATAAGGGAAGCCAACAGAAGCATTTGTTCCCATCAGCCTCCTGCTGTGGGAACAGCGGGGAAAACTTGAAACAAGGTATGTTGACTCCAGCTATGTAATGAATGTAGCTGGAGTTGCATATCTTGAGTCAACCTTCCCTTTTAGTATAGGCCTGGCCTCAGACAAACACCTGTCAGGAATGGTCTAGATAAAAAAAAATTCCTGCCATGAGTGCAGGTACTAGACTAGTTGATCTCTCAAGGTCCTTTCCAGTCCTATGATTCTATTATTTGAAAACTTGGCACACAAAAATTTCAGTGTGCGGTAACAATGGGCAAAAGCATTTTTGGGAAATAGGTACAAGGCTCCCCAATTTCTATTTAAGTCTGCTCTAACTTATTTGAAATATTTCCCCAGAACTAAAGCCTTTCTTTAATGGAGGATGTGGCAAGGAGATAATAATTTACTAAATCAAGGACCTGAGTTAATGGATCACATCATGATTCCATTACACAATTTCTACTTACCATCTTTCGGATGGCTGCATTTGAATGGTTTGCTGCTGTAGAAATGAGCTCCAGCGATTCTGCAATAAAGGTGGCAGCAGTTATACATTATATCAGTTAATAGCACAATTTTTATTTTCCTGAAATGTACATAAGATTTCCTGAGACTGTCCCTCCATCTGCTGTTCACATCACTGAGCCTGCCTACTGCCGTCTGGGGCACCCACCATTCTGTCCTACTGGGCCAGGAACTCTGGTCTCCCTCAGCCAAGGTACAAAGTTAGGACAACAGACCCTCAGCAGAGCAACACACATGCAAACCAGCCCAGCTCTTGGAGGCTTAGTTACAATACTGTTGACAACACACAGGAACACAACCCCAAAAGGAACCCAACCCCCCCAAAAATCTGTCTTACTCTGTATAAAAGTTTTATACAGAGAAACCTTATGAGCTCACCCTCTTTATTAATGAGAGAGATTCACAATGGTTGCTTCCCTGTTTCCCTCAGGTAACAATTATTTATGCTGGGCTTGATAATAAACAAGTGTTTCTATTAAGTATAAAAATAGGATTTAAATGATTGCAAGTAAAAACAAACAGATCAAAATAAGTTATTAAGCTGAAATAAATAAATACACCAGCTAATCCTAATACACTAAGAAACAGGTTACATACGAATTCTTATCCTAACAGTCATTCTAATTATTTCTTTCACAAGCTAGGCAACCACCTAGCTTGGGCCCAATCCTTCCCCCCTGTTCAGTCTTAGATGATTCCAACAGGCATCTTGGGTGGCAAGAAGGGGTCTCTTGGTGTCTGGCCACTCTGCTTTGGTTTGGTTCCCCCCTTCTTTTATATCCCTTTTGCCCAGGGCGAGAATTCTTTGTGTTCAGTTCAAGTAATTCTCACCTTGAGAGGAAAAGTACCAGCACCAAAATGGGTTCTAGCATCAGGTGGCATGGTTACATGTCTTTGTAGGACTAACCACAATCTGGACTTATAGGAAAAATAAAGCCATTCACAAGTCACTGACCTCGTTACTCAACCATTAAGTTCTTAAAGTATCACTAATGGTTTTTATTATAACATCTGAACTAATAAAACAGGTTCCCCCTTAATATTTCTAACTTCACATATAAGAACAATATGTGTACACAAATAGGATATACAGATTCAGCGGATTAAAGCTTTTTAAATGACATACATCACATAAAGCATCTTTGAGCCATGCATATTAATAATCATAAAGCATGAGGGGAGGGGCAGACAGTTCACTTCCACTGCAAAAGACCTGCTGAATACTGCATGTCCCTGAATTAAATGAAGCTTTGTAAGCATTGATACAGAGGATCACATTCGCATGTTTAGCAGGTATGTAAATGAAATTTCATCTTATCCTGCTCTACTTACAAGTCCAGACAAGAAACAAAACAGCACGTAAGGGGCAACAATGACAATTTTAGGAACAATTTACAGTTCACACCATACTCTAGGCATTTCTTGAGATGATTCCAAGCTGTTACAAAATCAGCAAAATTCTTCTTCCCTCCCAATCTTGATATCATATGGCATGAATCCCTAGAAAAACTTACATTTCAGACAAATTGTTTTACTCCATCAAGCCACCACAAATACAATTGAAAGAAGGAATGTTAAAATGCAGGTTATTGGCTAACTGTATAACCACTGAAAAAATTCAGCGGTTACACAGTTACATGCACACTCAGCACGGGGCAGCAGCCATATCCCTAGGAACCAATGTGTGCCAGGAGCCAGCCGCCCCACTCACCACCTCCATCCTGCTCTGCTGTCTCTGATACAAAGGCAGCTGTGCAGGGCATCAGCTGGCTCCCCAGGAATTGAGCCAGGAGCTGCGTCTAGCAGTTTGGATAACTGATAAGCTCATACTACACTCTTACATCCCTAACTGAAAGTCCTGTGTCTCTGGTATAGACTACAGTATTCTGTCATTGCTTATTTGGTGAAGTTGTCCTGATTTCCAGACCAGTGATTTGCATCTAGCACAGCTTCTCTGCAACTTTCCAACAGATAATTCAGTTCAATATGTCTACAAGGGCCTCATGTACTGTCAACAATATTTGAACTTTGAAGTCAAGCCTACACAAAAACATGATTCTTTCCAACAACATGGTCCACATTCACGATGCAGGTCATAGAAGGTACACTTACTTTCAGCATCTTTCCTGTCTGGAGATTCTTCTGGAAGTTTCTTTAGATAATCCTTTAGAAGAAGCTCATAGCGAGGAATTCTCTGCACGGGTTCAAGCATATGATGCTGCAATGTCAAATTCCCACACACATCCTGTTTCTGTAACCCAGAGAAAACAATTATGCAAGGATTATAGTATTTCTTTGTATGTTTGTTTTTAAATTGAAACTGCAATTAAAAAAATCACAATTTCTACCCACGTAAATAAAGGGACATTGTCAATCTAAAAATTAAGTGTTTAATGTAGATAGTTGGCCCTAGCATCTCTACCATAAATTTACATAATTTTACATTCTCCCATTTTTTATAAAAAATTTCTCCTCTCTTGCTGTGTGCAAGACTTTTTGAAAGTCCCTTATTAGAACTTGGTCCTAAATGGAATAAGAAACCATATGGTTAATGCAATAAATACAGGACTACACAAATACCTCTTTTTTTAAATTAGCATTTACTGTTCAAACAGCACAGAGACGGAAAATAAAAGTCAAAATATAAGTCACATATAACCTTTGAAAGCATAACATAGCAGTCACTGTTTTACTTGACCATGTCTGTGATTGGTTTAAAGACTGAGCATGTAAGCTTCCGATAATCTGGCACCTTTAGGACCCAGGGGGTGCCGGATTATCAAATATGCTGGACCATCGGAAGGGGGGGCTATGAGGGGTCTCGGGTGGAGTGGGGGGGATGCGCCCCTCAGTGCTGCAGGACCAACCCGGCAGCACCCCAGCTGCTCTGCCCCAGACTTCCCCAAGTCAGCCGCTGCTGAAACTGACCAGCAGTTTCACCAGCGGCTGAATCGGGGAAGCTGGGGGCAGAACAGCTCCAATTGTCCGGCTGCCCGGAGCACTTCCAGGTTCCAGATGGTGCTGGACCATCAGGAGTGCCGGACCACTGAATGCCGGACCACTGGTGTTTTACTGTACTTTATTAAATGTCCATGTTAGTCTGCATCTGCAAAAACAACAAGGAGTCTTGTGGCACCTTAAAGACAAACAGATTTATTTGGGCATAAGATTTTGTGGGCAAAGACCTGCTTTATCAGATGCATTGGAGTGGAAATTACAGAGATAGGGATATATATCTAGCACGTGAAAAGGGAGTTACCTTATCAAGTGACGAACCAGTATTAACTAGGCCAGGGGCGGCCAACCCATTTAACAAAGAGAGCCAAAACAGCGGCGGAAAAAATGTGAAGGGGGGGCAAGCCCCCCGAGAACAGAATTGTGGAACAAAAACAAAAAAATTGTTAAAAAAAATTTTTTTTAAAAAGGAGGCTGCCCTCCAGGGTGCCATTTTGAAAACTCTGCAACTCTGCCTCGGTAAGCACAGGGGAGCTGGGGGCTGGGGACGATTGGGGGGGAGGGACGTGGGAGTGGTTTTGCGAGCCTCTCTTTTGGGGGGCAAGAGCTGCATGCGACTCGCGAGCCGCGGGTTGGCCACGGCTGAACTAGGTCAATTCAGTCAGGGTGGATGTGGCTCACTCCCAACAGCAGATGAGGATATGTGAATACCAAGAAAGGGAAAGTTGCTTTTGCAGAGGGCCTGCCATTCCCAGTGCCTATTCAAACCCAGATTAATCGAGTCAAGTCTGCAAATGAATTGCAGCTCAGTAGTTTCTCTTTGTAGTCTGTTTTTGAAGTGTTTTTGTTGAAGAATGGCCACTTGTAAATCTGTTTCTGAGTGTCCAGGGAGACTGAAGTGTGCTCCTACTGGTTTTCATGTTATATTTCTTGATGTCTGATTTGTGTCCACTTATTCTTTTGCGTAGAGATAGTCAGGTTTGTCCAATGTACATGGCAGAGTACAAGGCATGTACTTTATTAAATGGGTACCTCTAGAGGCACTCATCAGGCCCCAATCATCATGGTATTTATCCCATACCAAGTATTTATATTCATAATATTCATGGTGAGGAAGTATTATGCCTCTTTTATAGTTGGGGAAAATGAGGCATAGAAAGTTTAAGTTAATTGTTCCAGGGCACATGGGAAGTTTCTGGAAGAGCCACAAACTTAACCCACAACTACTCAATCCCAGTTCAGTGTCAAAAACATCCTTCCTCTATGGAATTAATACTTCAGCCTAGCTAGTAAAATACATCATTTGCACCAAATTTTGGTCCAGTCACATGTTTTTGTACAAATAATAGCATTGCTTCTATTACCACAATAATTTCTGCACTCTATTCCGCCCCAAAAAAGCACTTGTGTAAAATAGTTCCAACATTTCTCATATATATTACAACTGAAGACATAATGCTGACTTGTCTGATTTTGGGAGATAGTGAAACAAATGTCTGACAGGAAAACATTAGCCATTTTTCCAGTAATTCAAAGATGTAAAAATAATTTGTCACCACGTTCTGAACACTATTGCTGTTTATAGTGGCTGAGGTGAATTTATTATATTTCAGAGTTTTACAGTATAGCACTTCTCAGATGCCACAATTGGGAAGGAAAGAATTAAAGATTCCAGTAAGGATGTGAATGAGCAGTCGACTAGATGATTAACGAATAAGCCTATGCTTATTAGTTAATCTTCTTGACTACTCACATTCCCCCTTCCCCGCTGCCTTTGTATTAGAGAAAGCAATGAGGGGGGAGCAGGAGCTGGGGAGAACCAAGCAGCCTCTGTTCATGGGGGTGTGGGCGAGCTCCCTGTGGACAGAGTCTGCTCTGCATCCCGTGGAGCAGCCTCTGTCCACAGCTGGCCCAGCAGCCTCTGTCTGTGGGAGCTCAGACCTTCCACAGACAGGGGCTACTGCCACCCTGCACTGCTGCCTTTGTATGAGAGGCAGGAGAAGGGGGCATCCACGAGGGGAGCTAGTTTTTACACTGGCTCCCCCCGCAGACCGGCTCCTGCCTGGCACCCCACACTGCTGCCTCTGATACAGAGGCAGCAACATAGGATGGCAGGGGTCTCCCCGGAAGTGGGGCCAGACTGCACTAGCTGCTGGCATCACCCCCGGAGACTAAGTGGGAGCCAGGCTACAGAATGGCAGGGAACCTGTAAATACTATGGGCATGAAAAGCAAACGCTCTATCAGTTAAGACAGCAGAACATACACATTTTCTATGATTTTAGAAAAATCAATGGGCCACTTTGGTCTGCAATGTCAAGTTGGATGCACTTAGTAGGACTGAGCTGCAGAAATTAGCCATAATGGTAACATAGGAATGTATTTACCTTCCAGGCTGCCAAAGTAATCAATCAAGTCTGGTTTTTTGTATGAAAAGAATGTCATGTGTTTATGAGCTCAACTTAATTATTGCTAATGCCTCGACCTGAATAACTATGCCACTCAACAATCTCTAGAGTGTTATTAACAACCTACGTGGGATTTCATAATTAAGCAATAAAACATGAGTGACAGAGCACTTCTGCAGGATTACAGCATATTTCAAGTGATGTTTTGCAAAGCAGGATCAAAGGTCATAGGAATAACCAACAGAACTCACATTAAACCACTGGACATTATCTATAATTGAGGTCCCCCTATGATCTCCATGGAAAGGTAGAGCTAACCTCTGTAGCAAGGATCCTGGGTTCTTTGATATGCTTGCATCAGAGACAGAAATCCTATGGCAGCTTTGTTTAAAATGAAAATGTTGGGTTTCAAATTCATTAAATACGAAAATAAATGCCATCAGTACAGCAGCCCAAATGCTGACATTAGGTCCAAAGTAGTTTATGCTGTGTCGCATGTTCCATTTTTGATAGGCTAACGGCTTTTGCATTGACCATGACAATGAACATCATAAGAGCTAATGGGACAAAGATAAAGGACAAGCTAAAGCTAAAGGTAAAAGGGGGGCAAAGAGGTAGCCGAGATTCATCGAAGACATACTTTGGGTAAATCCTCATGCAACAGACCAGTGCCTACTGACACACCAGTTGGATATCAATCCAGCAAGCTGAACTTCTCTGCTAGAATAATCAGCAGTGAAACAGTTAACAAGAGTTGCCATTTTAGATTACTGACACAGGGCTTCAGAACCGAAGCTCCAGATATAACCCTTGTCTTACATTTACTTGTCATAAACTCTTCATGGGGCAGCAGAGGATATTCATGATTGCAGATAGCTGCAGGCATGTTTTGTGGGCTCTGATAGCTAATGTGAGCCATTTTTGTGGTTAAACTTGTTTAGTGATGTGACAGAGGAGACATAGAAGAATGTTAGGGAAATACACAACATAAGAACGGCTATATTGGGTTAGACCAAAGGGCTATCTAGTCCGATATCCTGTCTTCCAACAGTGACCAATGCCAGATGCCCCAAAGGAAATGAAGAGAACAGGTAATCATCAACTGATCTATCCCTTGCTGCCCATTCCCAGCTTCTGGTAGAGGCTAGGGACACATTCCTACCCATCCTGGCTAATTATAATTGATGGACCTATCCTCCATGAATGTATTTAGTTCTTTTTTTGAATCCTGTTGTATTCTTGGCCCTCACAATATTCTCTGTCAGGGAGTTCCACAAGTTGACTAATAATTAAGGATATAAAATCCCATTTCATCAGTTAACCGATTAAACATTATGTTTAACTGGTTAAGCACTTTAACAGGGGTGAGTGGGAGGCCAACTAGACTGAAGCTGCCTCTTGCCACAAGTGGGGGCTTTTCTGGCCAGGTGGCACTGCCCTCTGTGAACGACACGGTAGATAGTTCCAGCCAGGCCAGGCCTGCCAAATCGTGGGTGGGGGTTGCTCCATGATGCTCTGGCCAGGCTCCAGCCATCCAGAATCACCCCCTGCCCATGGCACCAGGCCCACCACACATCCCTACTGACTATGTACTATGTGAAAAAATATTTCCTTTTGTTTGTTTTAAACTAGCTACCTATTAATTTCATTTAGTGATCCCTGGTTCTTGTATTATGAGAAGGAGTAAATAACACTTGCTTATTTGCTTTCAATATACCATTTTATCTCCTGGCTGCAGGAAATAAGATAAATAACGAGTTACAGTGGGACTTCCATATTCTTGAGAAAGGAATTTTTGGCCTGATGCAAACTGAACTGTCTTGGACAAAAGTGAATTATAATAACACTGTTCTCTTTTAAAGGGAAAACGGATTTTAGATCAAAATGCAAAGACCAGTTGTGCATTTTTCTGAAGAACTGAATTGAGAAGGTTTGGAGAGTTGGGGCAAAGTGGAAGGTGATCTAAGAGAGTCTTCTGGCACATGCAGAAAGACTCAGGGAACCCTGCAAGGACGACATAGTAGAGCTCTTGGGATTTGTCTCCACTCCTGAATGGACTGATGTGGCAGTGATCAATCCACCATGGGTCAATTTAGAAAGTCTATTGAAGACCCACTAAATCAACTTCTAATCGCTCTCTAGTAAACAAGAAGAATAAAGGGAGGTGAGGGAGAGTTTCTCCCGTTGACCCTGTGTGGTAGAGACCACGCAGTAAGAAGATGTAAGCTACGTCAATTTGAGTCACGCTACTAACATAACTCAAATTGCACAGCTTAGATCGATTTTTCCCTGTAGCATAGACATACCCTGAGATAAATCGTATAAGCAATGCTCCATTTGGGGCGCATGAATCAATATCTCAAATTTCAGCCAAAAGGAGCACGTAGCTCAGACCCCAGTCAGAATTCTCTCTGCCTTTCTTACTCTCCAGTGGCTCCAGGAAGGAGCTTCTGACTGACACTGGTAGCCAGCTTTGGGTCTTAAGAGCACTTTTCTTGCAGTGCACTGAGAGAATTACGGATTCATGGTGGCTGGCCCAACCCTACCACAAGGACAATCCCTGTATTTCAGGCATGCCTGCTGTGGCCTTTCCTCTGTGTGCAAAGATGAGGCATTAACCTTCTTCTTGCTAATCACTGTTCTTTGCAAAAAACAGTGGATACTCTCCCTGCACCTGCAAACATGCTGGGTTTTCAGCTACATTTCTAAATTGTCTGATTCTGGCCTCAAGCAAAGAGAGGGAGAAGAAGAAAAAGGAAAAAGAATCACAAAGCACACTGATGTGAGCAGAAAGGCTTCCACTGTTTATTTTCATTATAAAATGAAAGTTGTAGGTAAGTCATTTTCCTGAAAAATTGTTAGCCCAAACAAGAGCACTGTGCTACAACATAAGCACCAGAAAATTAAAGGACTAGAAATACAAATGAAACTAAATGCTCTATTTTCATCTTCCAAGGAGAATGAGGTGTCCATTCCAAACAAGCAAAGGAAAGTGAAATATGTATTAGGCTATTAATTTTTCACTTTAAAATTAGTGTTTTATTAATAAGAAGATAAAGGAATTCTTAAAAGATTATATAATGTGTGTAGTGACAGTATTTCCTCCCATCATATTCCTTTTTTGCGTCAGGACAAACTCACTGTTATGCTTTTACAATAATCAAGGAGATACGTTCAGTGGTTTTAGAATCTCTGTAAACAAAAGGAATAAAAGTGAGCAACTTGGCATTACTGCCATGGCTTAACGAGTATCCCCAAATTCTGTTCAAGAAATATTTCACCTGTATAATGATATATGTCATGCAGAAGAAGAAAGAATTGTTATTATATTTCAGCACTACATGAAATTTACCCAGAAACCCATCCACTGTGGAATGCTAGAGCTGGGGAAAAAAATATTAAGTCCTATCAAGCTGGAGATGTACTCAAAGGAAGGACTTTATACCTGCACGTTTTGAACAACATCTTTAAATGGAGATGATCGCTGCATCCATGTGTTTACCATGTCCATTGCTCTGTCAAAGTTCTTCACATATTCTCCATACATCTTCAGAAACGGAGCCAGTTTTTGAAGGATGTCTCCCAATCGTGGATTGGTATTCCTATTGCAAAGAAGGCAGGTAAACATGTCTTCAAATTCACACTTTTACAGGAGCTTGCTCACTCACTCAACTCCCTCCTTCCCTCCCCTAACGCCTCTTCAAACCAATTTTAGCTCTGGGGTAAAAAGGGACTATTCCTTTTTGACCTACAGGCACCACATTCACACTTAGATTAAGGCTGAATTTAGATCTATAAAACTTTGTTAAGAGAAAAATCTATACCTAGGTCCAATAAGAAAAGTAATTTGTCAAAAATAGCCTACACTTTTTTCACAGTGATTTTTTTTCCACACAGCAAAAGATTTGAAGAGCAAAGAGTCATGTAGTTAAATCTAGGCACTCCACCTAAGTTACTTTAGGATGTAGGAAGGTCATAGAAGCTCAGTAATAAATGAAGAACTTCCTTTATAAGTACAAACAACAAAGGAAACAGACTATCCTGAATTAATACTCCCTTTGTGTTTCAGTCTTCTCAGAAGGCAGAGCCTAGGAAGTGAGGCCTGGGAGCAAAAGTGGATCTGCATCTCAGTATGTACTTAGGTCTCATTAAAAAAAGATTCTATTTAGGAGCAAGAAGATGGTGTTATCCCTTATCTGTGCATTTCCATTCCTATTTCTGACTGCAAAAGGGAAGGCATAATTACAATAATTGTTAACTGTCTCAAACATTACAATGTTGGAAAAGGGCTGGGTTGGAAGCCAGCAGATTTGGCTTCTATTTAGGGTGGCCATTCGTCTTCTTTTATAGAGGACAATCCTGCATTTTGCTACTCTATTTTCTGTCTTCTATTGATTCAAAATAGGATGCCTCTATGTCCTCTGTTTTTCTCTTGAGACCAGAGGTGAAAGTAAGCTGATGTACCTCAGTGCAGCATTCTGGTAAGAAACCACCAGTTGGCTGTGGTGCTTGGTTGCAGCTGCTCCCAGACAGGCTGGCCTCCCAGGACTCTCCAAGAAGGCTGCCTTGCTAAGCAACAGGTAGCCAAGAATATGGAAGGGGCTGGCTGGGGCTGCTCTGGTCCCACCCAGTGCCCTTTTGGGCATGCAGGAAGGGGGCTGCAGCTACACAAACCAGGTCTTCTTCCTCCTCCTCTGACTATCAGAGTGTGAGGGGAAAGAGCTCAGTTTGTGGCTTCTTCTCACTCCTGGCTGCCGAGGGGAGATCAGAGGAGGAATGCAACAGACTGTCAACTTTCCCCTTGCTTCCTGAGAGTCAGACAAAGAAGAGCAGCAGAAACCTGGTATGTGTGGCTGCAGCTCACCCCCATGCTCCCAAAATGGTGCTCTTGCTCCTTTGCACTCACCTCAACATCCCCAGACCTGGGCTTCACCACCTGAACTCCCATATCCTCCTGCCTTGGGCACCCTACACACTAAATGCAACTGTCCTTTATTCTTGAGGTACCTTGATGGCCACACTAGTTCTATTTCAGTCCTTTGTGACCAGGTGTGACAGGATGGCCCAAGCCCTGAGACCTCCTGCTGGAGGCTTTGTGGTCCTGCCATACCTCACCCCAAAAGACAATAGAGAAGTCCTCCAGGCAGTCAAGAGTGGCAACAGAAGAAGCAGCCAGTCAGGGGCCAGGAAGTCCCTATAAAAGGAGCTGCAGCATCTGACAGCAGTCAGTGTCTCTGGAGATCTGAAGGTGTGCAGACCGGGAGACTGGCTGCCTAAGAGAGTGGCAGCACTACAGACAGCCCCATGTGAAGAGTACTGGAGGCTGCTGGTCTGTGATGGGACTTTGAGATAAAGGCCTAAAGTAAAGGTGAGGATGCTATTTCCAAGATAGGACACCGTGGGGACACCACTCTTTCTCAGAGCAAGGAACAGACTTGAAGAGACATGACAGAGGACACCGAGAGGTATCCCTGTGAAATGTGTACCCCAGAAGGGATTGGTCAGATCCACATGGAGTGACTCAGTCCGGGGACTAAGGTTTTGAACAGAAGAGAGTGCAGGCACATGCTCTCAACCAGAAAGGGCGCTCACGAGACGTGAGTGCCATCCTATTATACCACAGCAAGTCACATACTCTAAGCTATAGTTTTCCTGTCTATAACAACCCTTACCAACCTCATATGGGTCTTATATGGCATAAGCATGGTGACATCTTTAGCTAAGTGTAAATATTAGCAATCCTAAGTGGAAAGCCTAGAACTGAGAAATTTAGGCTGGGATTTTCAAAGGAGTCCAAGGGAGCAGAATGCACAAACTTCCATGAAGATGGGTATCTAACCATCTTAGACGTCTTTCCAAATGTCAGCTCTAACTTAGTTTCTATTCACTTTCAAAGCTTGTCTAGATGCTTACGCATTGTGGAATGATTTTTTATTAAAATTAGATTTATAGTTAAGTTTAATATAGTCAACTTAGTTTTTAAAGAAATGACCTGATCAAATCAAACCTTAGCTATAGTACACAAAATGCTATTCCATTATAGGAGTGTGCTAGCATTCCAGTGTAGATATATATGTTGATATTTTCTACTGCCTGTCTCAATGCCTTACAGAATAACTTCTGGGCCAAAATAATTAAAAATAGTAAGTGACTTAGCTCTTACGGTATAGTGGAAATGCTATCAAGGAGAACATCTCTTGCAATGTTTTGGACCAATAAAGCACTCTGATACAAAGGCAAACCTAAATAAAAAAAATATTGTATTCTGGCATGTTTTCAGAAAAGGCATGATGACCTACTGTATTATTAAGGAAACAGTAAATTATTGTGTAATTAAAACTTGTTGTAAAACTAGGCTGATTACCTAAATGCCTACAAACTGAATACTTATTTGTAAACAAAAAAATTGGTTTACCTACCACTCTTGTGTAATTCTTGTTTGGAGTTCAGGCAGGAGAAATTGTCCATGGAAGCGATAGATAGAGGAAATATTTGAAAAGATGCCAGTTATCACTTCACCTGGAACACCTGCTTCTGACAATTTAGTGCAAAAAACCTGCATGGAGGAAAAAAGGCAGTACCAGTTACTGAACATAAATCTAATACCTGGCATTTTGTTACGAACAGGATTATATAAAAAATGACTAATGTGCTTTAGTATAGGAACTCTCATTCTGTATTTTGGAGTGTTCTTTTTTTCTGAGAAGCTACATTGTATGTCATACATTTAGATGAATAATATGCTAAACAAGACCATTCTCATTCAGATGAGGAGGTTCCATACATTTAGACTTAAAACTAGTTTTGTTATTTCTGTAATGGGAAAGTAAGTTGAAAAAAAGCAGATTTTTTTTCCCCCTCCTCATCTTCATCAGGTCCAGGACAAAAGTACATGAAAAATAAAAGGCACTCCCTAGATTTTCCTAAAGTCTGGAAATAGATCTCCTCATCCAAAGCAAACCACTCAAATTTCCATAGAGATCTTTAGTCTGGGAGACAGAATGGAAAGTGCTCTATACAAATAATTGCTTCCCTATCTGCACTCATAACAAGAAGACAGTTTTCATTTTTAAGAAATGCAGCACACCTTGCTTGCCACAGTGACTCACCATTTTTATTCTTTCTTCCACATTCATATATTGCACAACTGCTTTTGTGACAACCATGATCCAGATACCCCAGTGAAAGAAGAAAAGACTCAAACCTCCAAAAGGGAGCAGTCAAACCAGCTTACTGCATACTGTATGATTGTGGTATTAAAAAAAATTGAGCATGTTCTTTCACGAAAGCCTGTGGTAGAACATGCAGGCCTTTACAAGACATGTATAAAGACTGTGGTTATGAATTCACGTATTTGTGTATATAGGAAACTGTGCTCATAATCTATGGTGTAGCGTCTCTTCTACTTCATAATGAGGTAGTCGGGAGCAGCCAGATAGGGATGGGCTGCTTCCCCAATCAGATAATACTCGCTCCTTGCATCTAGCATTGTTCAACCCAGGAAAAAAACATCAAGGAAAAATCAAAGTAAAAAAAAAACAACTTGAAACTGAAAAGAAAACCCCAGGCTTTGAAAACTAGGAAAAGAGGGAAATTTCCCTCACTCTGAATATCTATAGAGACTAAAGAAAAACAAAACCCATAAACACAAACCTGCAAGTCTCTCTCAAATGGAAGGGGTCTAAAGTAAAGTCTATTCAGAAACCTTGGAACAGCTTCTAAGTGAAAAGCTGTTGTGAAATGTTGGCTCCCCTCCCCCCAGAGAAGAAGTCATGCTGGGAGATATGCTGAGAAACTGTTCCAAGGCAATATAACTCATATTCAGAAAGGGACTTTATCTGAATATAGTTTTTTGTCTGATTTGTTGCCCTTTATATTTAACTTCTGTCTAACTTGCGTGTATGGACTCCCTTGTTATTTCATCTCTGAGTCTGTGGTTTTCTACTAAACAAACCTTTTGTTTATTTTTACCCCATGCAGGTCTCTGTTGTGCAAACTGCATGGAAGGGTATGTGCCAAAGTGAGCTAATAACATGGGGCTGGTTTCACACAGGAAGAGACGTCAGAGTGTCTGGTAGTGAAGAACTCGTGAAGGATGGGGAGACTCAGAGGACTGCTGAAATCAGCATGCAAGGAGTAACTTGGGAAGTGGAAGCCAGGATAAGACATTAGGTGGGTTACTAGTATCAGGGCTATGAGCCATAGCAGCACAGCATTAAGGCACACTAGGGATACAAGGCTTGAGGTGACAGAACCTCTTACTGATCTGGGCAGTCCCCAAAACATTACAGTACTACAGACAGTAGGATCAACTTTCCTAAACAATTCTTCTGACCCTTTTCAACACACAAAGGCACATGAGATCTGCAGTATCATTGTTCCAGTTTTACCTTTACTCCCCAAAGGAAGGTAAATTAAAGAGAGTGCTGAGGTGAAAAATCTGGAGACATAAAAGGGCTGATTCTGCTGAAATGATACAGGCCCAACTTCTACTGACAAAGCTCACTGGAGCCACAAAGCAGTCACAGGTTGCCTTGATTTCCTTTCAGTGTCTGTTCATGAAAGTAACTGCTTCCTCCTTGTGGTCCCTACAGGGTGGGTAGCTGAGTTGATTCTTCCACATTCCATAAGGCCTGCTCTGCTTGTAAAATGATGTAGTTGCTGCTTAGAATCATAGAATACCAGAACTGGAAGGGACCTCGAGAGGTCATCAAATCTACTCCCCTGCCCTCATGGTAAGACCAAGCACCACAGATCATCCCCAATAGATGTCTATCTAACCTTCTCTTAAATATCTTCAGTGATGGAGATTCTACAACCTCCCTCTGCAATTTATTCCAGTGTTTAACCACCCTGACAGGAAGCTTTTCCCAATGTTCAACCTAAGCTTCTCTTTTCTGCATTTTAAGCCCAATTCTTCTTGTCCTATCATCAGAGGTTAAGGAGAATAGTTTTTCTCCCTCCTCTTGCAACAAACTTTTAGGTACTTGAACGCTATTATCATGTCCCCTCTCAATCGTCTCTTTTCCAAACTAAACAAGCCCAGTTCTTTCAGTCTTCTCTCATAGGTCAAGCTTTCTAGACCTTTAATCATTTTGTTGCTCTTCTCTGGGCTCTTTTCAATTTCTCCACATCTTGCCTGAAATGTAGTGCCCAAAATTGGACACAATACTCCAGATGAGGCCTAATCAGCACAGAGTAGAGTGGAAGAATGACTTCTCATGTCTTCTTCACGCCACTCCTGCTAATGCATCCCAGAACCAGGTTTGCTTTTTTTGCAACTGTGTCACACTGTTGACTCATATTTAGCTTGTGGTCCACTATGACCCCTTTCTGAAGTATTCCTTCCTAGACAGTCACTTCCCATTTTGTAAATGTTAAACCAATTGTTCCTTCCTAAGTGGAGTACTTTGCATTTGTCCTTATTGAACTTCATACTGTTTACCTCAGGCCATTTCTCCAATTTGTCCAGATCATTTTGAATTATGACCCTATTCTCCAAAGTGTTGGGAAATGTAAAAATTAATAGGGGTCTGGAACGGCTATACATTAGTGCTAAGGGGTCCAGCCAGAGCAGGCATTGCACTTTAAGCATGTTTTTCCCCCTTCGTCCTTGCAGCCTAGAAAGATAGTTGCACTGAACAGTGTCTTTGTTTTGTCTTCTCACTTGCTCTGTAAAAATACTTTCAGAGTCAGAGCTCTTTTCCCCATCCCTGTAAGCTGCTGATTGAGACTGTATGTAATGCCAATTCAACTAAAAACCAGTAAACAACAAACAGGGGCAGGTATAATTGTATTAATCACCTGCTTATTAATATTCATTGCGTGGAAGTTAACTTTGCTAAATAAGGGTTCATGGAAAGTAGTGACATAGACATGTGAATTAACATACTAAAGCAGTGACATGTGAATTAACATACTAAAATGAATAAAGGAGTATAACTCATGCCAAATCATTTCCACTTGGAATGCTGTGTTGGGGTCCGAGGTAAACATGCATTGGCAATAAAGTGGTTCGCTTACCCCATTCGCTCCTAGGACACCTGTTTCTTCTTCAAAGCAACCACTCCCAGTTTGGTACCATCTGCAAGCTTTACCAGTTTACTCTCTATGCCATTATCTAAATAATTGATGAAGATATTGACCAGAACCAGTCCTAAAGCTGATCCCTGTGCAACCTCACTTGTTACACCCTTTCAGCATACCTGTGAACCAATGGTAACTACTCTCTGGCTACATTTACACTACATGCTTCTTACGCAAGAAGCCTTTTGCGCAAGAGTTTTTGCGCAAAAACTTTTTGTGCAAGAGCATGTCCACACATCAAAGCACATCACAAACGCAATGTGCTTTTGCACAAGAGTGTCCACACTGCATGGACACTTTTATGCAAGAAAGCTCTGATGGCCATTCACAGAATGGCCATCAGAGCACCTGTGCTTTTTCTGGAGCATTCACACTTGCCGCCACACACTGAAGCATCCACACTTGCCTTTTTGCGCAAGAACTCTTGCGCAAAAGGGAGTTATGCCTCAAAAAAGGAGGTTTATCTACGGTGGAAAAAGCCCTCTGTTCTGCCATTTAACTCTTGATTTCCTTGTGCAAAAGCACATTTGAGGTGTGGACGCTCCACGGGTTTTTGCGCAAAAACCTTGCAGTGTAGACATAGCCTCTGAGAACAGTTATCCAACCTGTTATGTGCTCACCTTATAATAGCTTCATTTACATTGTATTTCCATGGTATACTGTTAAGGTCATGCGAGACTGTATCAAATGCTTTACTCAACTCTAGGCATACAACATCTACTGCTTCCCCATTAGCCACAAGGCTTGTTATCCTATCAAAGAGAGCTATCGTGTTGCTTTGACATGATCTGTTATTTACAAATCTATGCTGACTATTACTTATCACCTTCCAGATGTTTGCAGATTAGATCTCTTCTCCACCACCATTTTCTTCTTCTTCAACTAACATCTGCTGACTTGTCTCCAATAAGCTGACCGCCTCTTTCCATCAGCAAAACCAGTTTTGATTCTTGGCAACCAGCTTCTCTACCATGTGCACTTACCAGGCTTTGTGCACAGCCACTCAACTGGAGACCAACATGCATGCAATACCTGGTGGCTGAGTTGCACATGATATAGAAGCTGTCCATCTGGAACCCTGTGTTGGAAATACCAGCCAATGTAATAATACTGAAAGCCAAGGGAAAAGGAAATGGGAATGGGACTGATGGCTGGAGAGGAAGAAAAGTCTTATAGTAAGCAACCTGTTAAGAAATGGCAATATGATGACTGCGTTTTAGCAACACTTTCCATGACTTGGCCATGATTTTATAGGCAAGGTACTAAGCCAACTCTCAACCCTACTTATAATTTTGACCTACATTTTATTTGCCTTACTAAAATAATCTGAAATGTAGGACTTTTTCAGTAACAGAAGTACAAAGCAATCACCTCCCCATTTATCTGAAGAAATCTGTTTTGTGAATTGAAAATGAAGCATAACTTGATCAAAGCAGAATTACCTGGTCCAGCAGATGCAGTCTTTTAACATAAGCCTCTTCTGTATGGAGCAGTTCGTTTGCAATGTTGAACAGTTTTTGCGGCTCTGTACACTAAAAAAGAATTACAAACTGAGTGATCCAAGAATTAGTATAAACCCTGTTTTCAAACATTTTATTTCCCAAGACTTGCTACCCTTAATTCATCCATGGTGTCACTTCTGAAATGAATTAAATCATCCCATGCGTTTCTAATCAAAGGATCTGTATGCTGCTAGTGCATTTTCAAGGTGATTTTCTAAAACCTAATTAATGTGCAATGTCTGCCTGCGATAGTACTTCAGCTCTCTAGAATTCGCTAGAAATGATAAATACCCAAAAATAGAAAAAGAAAATCCTCAAATTTAGTTTTCAACCCTTTATGATACTAGTACATTAATCTGGTGACTAATATGCTAGACTCAGCTAGACATCACTTTACTTTATATGCATTTTTAAATGCAAGAGCTATGACTACAGAGCACAGAAGCTAGAATTAGAAAATGCTAGAAGTCTAAAAAATGCTAGAAGTAAAAAAAAATAAGATGGATGAACTAGAGTGCCTCATGTTAAAGGAGGATACTGATATAATAGGCATCACAGAAACCTGGTAGAGTGAGGACAATCAATGGGACACAGTCATTCCGGGATACAAAATATATCGGAAGGACAGAACTGGTCGTGCGGGTGGGGGAGTGGCACTATATGTGAAAGAAAATTTAGAATCAAATGAAGTCAAAATCTTAAATGAATCAACGTGTTCCATAAAATCGCTATGGATAGTAATTCCTTGTTCTAATAAGAATATAGCAGTAGGGATCTATTATCGACCACATGACCAGGACGGTAATAGTGACTATGAAATGCTAAGGGAGATTAGAAAGGCTATCAAAATAAAGAACTCAATAATAGTGGGGAATTTCAACTATCCCCATATTGACTGGGTACATGTTACCTCAGGACAAGATGCAGATACAAAATTTCTTGATACCTTAAACGACTGCTTCTTGGAGCAGCTGGTACAGGAACCCACAAGGGGAGAGGAAATTCTCGATTTAGTCCTGAGTGGTGCGCAGGATCTGGTCCAAGAAGTAACTATAACAGGACCACTTGGAAATAGTGACCATAATATAATAACATTTAACATTCCTGTGGTGGGAAGAACACCTCAGCAGCCCAACACTGTGGCATTTAATTTCAAAAAGGGGAACTATGCAAAAATGAGGAGGTTAGTTAAACAGAAATTAAAAGGTACAGTGACTAAAGTAAAATCCCTGCAAGCTGCATGGACACTTTTCAAAGACACCATAATAGAGGCCCAACTTAAATGTATAAAAGGGGAACTATGCAAAAATGAGGAGGTTAGTTAAACAGAAATTAAAAGGTACAGTGACTAAAGTAAAATCCCTGAAAGCTGCATGGACACTTTCAAAGACACCACAGTAGAAGCCCAACTTAAATTAAAAAACATAGAAGAACTAAAAAAGAGCCGCCGTGGCTTAACTACCAAGTAAAAGAAGCAGTGAGAGATTAAAAAAAATCTTTTAAAAAGTGGAAGTCAAATCCTAGTGAGATAAATAGTAAGGAGCATAAACAATGCCAAATTAAGTGTAAAAAGAAAGTGTAATAAGAAAAGCTAAAAAGGAGTTTGAAGAACAGCTAGCCAAAAACTCCAAAGGTAATAACAAAATGTTTTTTAAGTACATCAAAAGCAGGAAGCCTGCTAAGCAACCAGCGGGGCTCCTGGACAATCGAGATACAAAAGGAGCACTTAAAGATGATAAAGTCATTGAGAAGAAACTAAATGAATTCTTTGTTTCAGTCTTCACGGCTGAGGATGTTAGGGAGATTCCCAAACCTGACCTGTCCTTTGTAGGTGACAAATCTGAGGACTTGTCTCACATTGAAGTGTCATTAGAAGAGGTTTTGGAATTAATTGATAAACTTAACAGTAACAAGTCACAGGGACCAGATGGCATTCACCCAAGAGTTCTGAAAGAACTCAAATGTGAAATTGCGGAACTATTAATTGTATTTTGTAACCTATCCTTCAAATCAGCTTCTGTACCCAATGACTGGAAGATAGCCAGTAACGCCAATATTTAAAAAGGGCTCTTGAGGCGATCCCAGAATTACAGATCGGTAAATCTAACGTCAGTACTGGGCAAATTAGTCAAAACAATAGTAAAGAACAGAATTGTCAGACACACAGAAGAACATAATTTGTTGGGCAAACGTTAACATGGTTTCTGTAAAGGGAAATCATGTCTTACTAATCTATTAGAGTTCTTTGAAGGAGTCAACAAACATGTGGACAATGGGAATCCAGTAGATACAGTGTACTTAGATTTCCAGAAAGCCTTTGACAAGGTCCCTCAGAAAGGGATCTAGGGGTCATAGTGGACCACAAGTTGAATATGAGTCAACAGTGTGATGCTGTTGCAAAAAAAGCAAATATGATTCTAGGTTGTATCAACAGGTGTGTTGTAAGCAAAACTCGTGAAGTCATTCTGCCGCTCTACTCTGCACTAGTTAGGCCTCAGCTGGAGTACTGTGTCCAGTTCTGGGCACCACCTTTCAAGAAAGATGTGGAGAAATTGGAAAGGGTACAGAGAAGAGCGACAAGAATGATTAAAGGTTTAGAGATCATGACCTATGAAGCCAGGCTTCATGAACTGGGCTTGTTTAGTTTGGAAAAAAGAAGATTAAGGGGGGACATGATAGCGGTTTTCAAATATCTAAAAGGGTGTCACAAAGAGGAAGGAGAAAATTTGTTCCTCTTGGTTTCTGAGGACAGGACAAGGAGTAATGGGCTTAAAGTGCAGCAGGGGAGGTTTAGATTGAACATTAGGAAAAAATTCCTAACTGTCAGGGTGGTCAAATATTGGAATAAATTGCGAAGGGAGGTGGTGGAATCTCCCTCTCTGGAGATATTTAAGAACAGGTTAGATAGGCATCTGTCAGGGATGGTGTAGACGGAGCTTGGTCCTGCCTTGAAGGCGGGGGGCTGGACTCGATGACCTCTTGAGGTCCCTTCCAGTCCTATTATTCTATGATTCTAAGAGTTCTGAAAGAACTCAAATGTGAAATTGCAGAACTATTAACTATAGTTTGTAACCTATCCTTTAAATCAGCTTCCGTACCCAATGAATGGAAGATAGCTAATGTAATGCCAATATTTAAAAAGGGCTCTAGAGGCAATCCTGGCAATTACAGACCAGTAAGTCTAACATCAGTACCAGGCAAATTAGTTGAAACAATGGTAAAGAATAAAATTGTCAGACACACAGAAGAACATAATTTGTTGGGCAAAAGTCAACATGGTTATTGTAAAGGGAAATCATGTCTTACTAATCTATTAGAGTTCTTTTAAGGGGTCAACAAACACGTGGACAAGGGGGGATCCAGTACATATAGTGTACTTAGATTTCCAGAAAGCCTTTGACAAGGCCCTTCACCAACGGCTCTTACGTAAATTAAGTTGTCATGGGATAGTGGGAAGATCCTTTCATGGACAGAAAACTGGTTAAAAGACAGGAAACAAAGAGAAAGGAATAAATGGTAAATTTTCAGAATGGAGAGGGGTAACTAATGGTGTTCCCCAAGGGTCAATCCTAGGACCAATCCTATTCAACATATTCATAAATGATCTGGAAAAAGGGGTAAACAGTGAGGTGGCAAAGTTTGCAGACGATACTAAACTGCTCAAGGCAGTTAAGACCAAAGCAGACTGTAAAGAACTTCAAAAAGATCTCACCAAACTAAGTGACTGAGCAACAAAATGGCAAATGAAATTTAACGTGGATAAATGTAAAGTAATGCACATTGGCAGGGCTCAACAAATTATGCAAAATCCTACTTGCCAGACAAAAAAGGGACTCGCCAACCCCCCACCCCACCGTGCAGGCACGCACCACCAGAGAACGGGACGACCGGGATGGCATGTTTGTTTCGTCAGTTATCATGGCCGCGGTTATCGTTGTTTGTCATTCTTTGACGTTTTGATGAGGTCTCAAAAACTTCAGTGAAAGATACAACAGTATTTTCATAGGCATGCACAGCACATTTCATTAGGGTGTGCACACAAAGAATTTTTTTTTAAATGTACTCTTTGACCCCCCATTAGCCACACCCCTGACCCCTGTAAACCATGCCACTGACCCCCATTAGCCACATCCCCTGACTTCCATTAGTCACGCCTCTGGAGGTAACACTCTCGGGGCAAGATGGACACATGACCAGAAGTAAAAGGTGTCATGTGACCCCCCCCCCCCAACGATTTTTCCCACCATCCTTTTACCAATAGGGATTAGTTTGGCCCTCACCAACCCCCCCTGTGCAACGATCCTGCAATTGCATTAACCCAATGTGTGAGACATTAACTCGGGGGGTGGAGAGGCTGGGGGAAGTGTTCCCTCTAAGAGTTTCCTCCCATGAGCACAATACATTTTGTGTTGTGCACCAGTACTGAGTTTGTGGCTTGTTTGGATGTGTCAGTGTGGCACCCAAGTTATTCATAAATATCTTATGAACCACTTACCTGTCCCCTCTGCTGCCCTGTCTCCTTCCCTTCCTCCATCAGCTCCCCTGGTGCCTGCTGCCCCCCAATCCCTCACCCACCTCTGCTGTCCTGACTCCTGCCCTTCTCACGGCCCTCGGCCTTCCCGAGACCTGCCCCCTCCAGCAGCCTTTCTCTCTCCCCCTGTGCCCACTCCTCCAGTAGCCCCACTCTGACCATGTGAGCTACCCCTCCTCATCCCCTCTTCTAACACCTCCCTCTACACACCTGTCCTGCCTCTCTCCTCTGGTGCT